ACCAAACATTTGCAATGAGTTGAAGCTTGTTGCTAATCGATCATGAGTCTCCGGGTCTGGGAAGCGAACTGCAGCTGGCCTCGATTATATGAGGCATGTGTTCTAAGCCCCATATCTTTCGTTTGGGTGCTGAACACCCTTGGGCGGCTGATGAGTTTCCCCACATTGTGATGGTCAGATATCAGGGGGCCCGGGAATCTGGGCTTAGAGTATGGCCTAGCCTTTGTGGTCATTGCTCACCTGGTTAGACCAAACATTTGTAATGAGTTGAAGCTTGTTGATGATCGATCATGAGTTCTCGGGTCGGGAAGCGGAACTGCAGCTGGCCTCGATTTATATGAGGCATGTGTTCTAAGCCCCATATCCTTTCGCTTGGGTTGCGACACCTTGGGCGGCTGATGAGTTTCCCCACATTATGATGGTCAGATATCAGGGGGCCCGGAATCTGGGCTTAGAGCATGGCCTAGCCTTTGTGGTCATTGCTCACCTGGTTAGACCAAACATTTGTAATGAGTTGAAGCTTGTCGCTGATCGATCATGAGTCTCCGGGTCTGGGAAGCGAACTGCAGCTGGCCTCGATTATATGAGGCATGTGTTCTAAGCCCGATATATCTTTCATTCGGGTGCTGAACACCCTTGGGCGGCTGATGAGTTTCCCCACATTATGATGGTCAGATATCAGGGGGCCCGGGAATCTGGGCTTAGAGCATGGCCTAGCCTTCGTGGTCATTGCTCGCCTGGTTAGACCAAACATGTGTAATGAGTTGAAACTTGTTGCTGATCGATCATGAGTCTCCGGGTCTGGGAAGCGAACTGCAGCTGGCCTCGATTATATGAGGCATGTGTTCTAAGCCCCATATCTTTCGTTTGGGTGCTGAACACCCTTGGGCGGCTGATGAGTTTCCCCACATTATGATGGTCAGATATCAGGGGGCCCGGGAATCTGGGCTTAGAGCATGGCCTAGCCTTCGTGGTCATTGCTCACCTGGTTAGACCAAACATGTGTAATGAGTTGAAGCTTGTTGCTGATCGATCATGAGTCTCCGGGTCTGAGAAACATGAGCTGCATGTGACGTTGGTCACATGAGATGTGTTCAAAGCCCGGTATCTTTCGTTCGGGTGCTGCACATCCTTGGGTGGCCGGTACACCCCACGCTGGTAATCATCTGAATATTCCAGAGTAGCTGTTGCATTTCCCCGTACTGTGATGGTCAGCTGCTCCCTGGATTGGTCAAGTTTTCATGACTGCCCCAGCCCTGGGAGTTGCACAGGCCAAGCATGTAATCGTTTGCGTTTGCTATGTAGGCGATCATAATTTTGTTGAGGTTGCTAAAGACAGACTTGCGGGCAGAATCCTGCTAGGTAGAAGCTATGTGTACTGGGTTCTTAAATTCATATTTCTGAGATATCTCGGAGATATCTCCTTATATGTCAGATATGTATCTTGTATAAACAATAGGATAACCATGCTGTGCAGTCCGTTGGATGGACAACCCAGGTTGGATACGGTAATTGAGTTAATTTTGATGCCATTTGTTCCTGTTATTACCAGTGTATTGCTGCTGCTGCTGCGACTGTTACAGATACTGCTACTGCTACTGGCGATGCTACTGCCTCTGCTGCGACTACTACCACTGCTAATGCTACTACGACGACTGCTACTTCTTTCTTCTGCACTACTGCCACTACTACTACTTCTACTATTACTACTCCTGCTGCTGTTGTGTGCCGTGACCACAGCTACCCATAGCACTAGTTCCAAGTCTTAAGTCAATTTAGCTAGCAAGGCCGACCAAGATGAAGAGCAGTGTTTCAATGCAACCTCTTTCAAGATAATTGCCTGCAGACATTTCCAAGCCTGTGTCGTTGCATGATGCTGTGCACTTTATAAGCTAGGCAGCACAGAGACCTTCAGAGTGAACTGTTCAGCCTGTAAGTCCTCAATCCCATATTCCATATTGAGCAGCTGGACTGCAGTGCCCGATTCTGGGCTCCGCTGGGCATTCTAGCGGGAATCTTGGATCCGTTGCAAAAACCAACCCTAAAGCTTAAACCCCTATAAGTATCCAACACTCAAGCTACCCTACAGCTGTAAACACCAAGCCCCGAAGGTGGATATCCAAGCACAGGCCCCGAAACTCAATTGTGCAGGTGATTTCAGCTCTCGAGTGCAAGCCCCCAAATAGTCTCCTCAGCTCTATAGTGGAAGTAATGTTAAAGTTCACAACCCTGATCAATGGTCAGCTCGGTTCCCTTTCGAAGGCTTTGTGGAATCTGATAAGGCCTAATGCCCTATAATACTATAAATGTAGATCTTCTCGTATGCATGGGTTCTTTGTGTATGTTTTGAAGTCTTGTTGTTCTCGAGAACCCTGTCCCGCGAGTGATTTCGTGTAGGGAAGTACCAGAAAAACTGTAGCAGCATGGTGTGGCATCGAACTCAAGTTGAGCGTCTACATACAGCTATAAATGTGCTTTTTTTCAGAGCAGCTTGAGTAGC